GGCTCAGGCCGGTGCAGGGGAGAGGAGGGGGCGCGTGACCTCGGGGCTCAGGCCGGTGCAGGGGAGAGGAGGGGGCGTGACCTCGGGGCTCAGGCCGGTGCAGTCTGCCAGGGGCACTAGGGCACAAAGACAAAAGAGAAAGCAAGACGGGCCCTGCTGGGTGCTGGGTGGGAGGGAGGCGGGAATTGGGCAGAGCCTGCCTGGCTGGTGTGAGCCGCCTTGACGAAGTCTCACTTTCATCAGCCCCAACTGAGCAGCGTGGGCCACCCCAAGACCCAGCCCGGGCCCCTGGAGGGATGAATGTCCTCTGCTGTGTGGGCAGGGAGAGCCCAGGGAGGCAAGGTGGGGACAGGCTGGTGCTCGAGGCCCCGAGCAAGGCCGACAGGATCAGGAAGCACGAGGGGTGGGCGACTCACCTCCAATGGTGGCCGGCTCTGGTCCGTGGGGGCTGTGGAGGGGGCTGAACCATTTTCTGTGCTCCTGGGAAGACAGTGAGTGTCAGCAGCGCTGGCTGCCCCGTGTCCCCATGCGCCAGGCGCTCCCTCCCCTCAAAAGCCTGTGTTGGGAGAGTGGCACTGTCCCCAGCACTGCTTCCCACCTGCCACCGCCCCAGCATTTGGCACCATAACCTGCCGCTTCTTCCCTCGCCAGTAAACCACAGGTTTCTCTGGAAACCAGTGCAGACACCAACAACCTCCTGAGCGTGAGGATGTGGGTGGGGCCCCCGTGGCCCCTTCCCCGGAGGGCCTGGGTCACCAGATCCGTCGCCAAGGCTGAGGGAGGTGAGCGGCTGCACAGGTCGCCAGCACTCCCCTCCGGCCCGGCCCTCACAGAAGGGAACGGCACGCTGCTGCCTGCACAGAGGAAAGGGCTCCCAGAGCCACGGACGCCAGGGCCTGCCAGCCACACACTCGGGGGGCTGGATGCCAGCACAGCCCCCACGCCTATGGCAGCTGAGGCCCGGCAGGCTCTCCCAGCCTCTTGAACTGGGGGCTGCATTACCTGGTCTCTTCCGGAAGCTCCTCGATGAAACCAGACTCGCATCTTGGACAGATATAATCCTGTGGGAGAAAACAGGAGGCCGGGTCACGGCGACGCCTGGCATGACCTGCAAAAACCCCTCAGGGGTGAGGACAGAGGGGCTCCGGACCCAGTGGTCTCTGGCTGGCCAGGGTGGCTCCCAACCTGTGGTCCTGGAGGGCAGCCGAGGGGACCTGGCCTCTGCCGGCCACCTGCTGACCCTTTGGTGGTACCCGGCGATCTGATGCCCCACCATAACGGGCATCACCAGCGCCTGGGCACCTACTCACACAGGTGGCACCACTCGGAGGGATGCCCCGATATCCCTTTTCCAGAATGCTCTGGCAGCCCTGCACACAGCTCGTTCCCCTGGCTGGGGGGAGGCCACATCCCCACTGGCCACACCCCTGCAAGACCTCATTCCCAGGTCCCCCTAGAGCCAAGGACAATGCGAGGCCAACACGGTGATGTCCCAGAGGAGAAATGAGGACCCTGCCAGGGGACAGCCGCGTGTGAGCCCCAAACCCACGTTCACGGTTCCCCAGCACCAGCCTCAAGCCACAGCCATGCCGAGGGTGGATGCCATCCCCTGTGGACCTCACACTGCAAAGGGATCCCCAGGGCTGGAAGGGCCTGCTGGAGGCACTGGCTCACGGGGCAGACCCCTCATGGATGGCTGGGCCCCTGGTGATGGTGGAGCGGGCCGAGCATTCGTGGGGCCTGGGCTGAAAAGCGTGTGCTGCCTCCTGGTCTTACGAGGAGCTGGGCAGATGCCGATGCAAGCTTCGCACAGTCTGCAGAACTGGAAACCGGAAGCCAAATCAACCTCTCTCTAAACGACCCCGCGGGCTCAAGTACTCCATCGCAGCGACGTGAAAACAGCCTCACACGGCACGTGTCATCACAGAAAGGGCTCGAACAGGGATCCCGAGATCACCGCCAGGTAACACCGACAAAAACAGGGAGACGAGGCTCCCACGGTCCATGGGGTACTGCTGTGAGGGGAGCCAAGGCAGACCCCAGGCTCTGGGGACACAGGTTCCCCAGGGGCTGTACAGTCCCAGCGGGGCGGGGGCTGGGACCTGGTCAGCTGTGGTCCCCTCTCCAGCAAGCAAGATCCCGGCCTCACCCGCTGACTCTGGGGAGAAACGGGGGTCTGGCGGGCAGTGCTCGAGGGGAGGGCCGACAGCTGGGTCCCTGCCCACACCACACGGTGCCCGCCTCAGCTGCTCCTGCCACTGAAGCACATGCTGGGTGGGGAGGGACTAAGGCCAGGGCGAGCGAAGGATGCCAGATGCACGCGAACCCACCGTGAGGGCAGAGTAAAGACGCACCATCTACAAATATAAAAAAAGTGCTGCCGGCTCCTGGTGAGGCCGGCAAGCAACACACGCTTTTCAGCCCAGGCCCCACGAATGCTCGGCACACTCCGCTATCACCAGGGCGCGGTGGCTCAGGCCTGTAATCCTGGCACTACGGGAGGCCGAGGTGGGCAGATCACCTGAGATCAGGAGTTGGAGACCAGCCTGGCCAACATGGTGAAACCCTGTCTCTAATAAAAATACAAAAATAGGCCAGGCGTGGTGGCGGGCGCCTGTAGTCCCAGCTACTGGGGAGGCTGAGGCAGGAGAATGGCGTGAACCTGGGAGGCAGAGCTTGCAGTGAGCCGAGATCGCGGCCACTGCACTCCAGCCTGGGCAACAGACCCAGACTCCATCTCAAAAAAAAAAAAAAAAAAAAAATTGCTGGCCGGGGTGGTGTCTCCCACCTGTAATCCTGGCACTTTGGGAGGCCGAGTGGATCACCTGGAGTGAGGGGGCCAGGTCGTAGGTTGAGGGGGAGCCCATCTGGGGGACTTCTGGGTGATTTGGGTGGATCACCTGAGGCCAGGAGTTCAAGACCAGCGTGGCCAACATGGAGAAACCCCGCCTCTACTAAAAATACAAAAATTAGCCACGTGTGGTGGCGGGCACCTGTAATGCCAGCTACTCAGGAGGCTGAAACAGGAGAATTGCTTCAACCCGGGAGGCAGAGGCTGCAGTGAGCCAAGATTGCGCCATTGCACTCCAGCCCGGGCGACAGAACGAGACTTCATCTCAGAAAAAAAAAAAAAAAAGAAAAAAGAAAAAGAAAAAGAAAAGACAGCCCAGGCCAGGTGCAGCTCACGCTTGTGATTCCAGCACTTTGGGAGGCCAAGGTGGCCTAACTGTCTAACGCTGTGTGGCCTTCTCTGTCTGGCGTCTCTCACTGGACATCACGTCCTCAAGATGCATCCCCACCCCCGTGGCCTGGTCTGGGCCTCGCTGCTTTCCGTGGTTGAGTCGTGCTTGAGATCACTTGAGGCCAGGAGCTTGAGACCAGCCTGGCCAATGTGGCCAAACCCCATCTCTACAAAACCAAATTAGCTGGGTGTGCTGGGGCAGGTCTGTAGCTGCAGCTACTAGGGAGGGGGAGGCAGGCAGGAGGGGGAGGCAGGAGGCAGGATGGCTTGAGTCCAGGAGGTCGAGACTGCAGTGAGCTGTGGTCCCACCATGGCACTAGCCTGAGTGACAGAGCCAGACCCTGTCTCTAAAAAAAAAAGAAAGGGAAAGAGAAACAGATAACCCAGCCGAAAACGGGCAAAGGACCGGCACAGGACACGCCTCCAAACCGCGCACCGGGAAACGCAGCCGGCCAGCCCCGGCGAGACGCCACTTCCCGGGGCCGGCGAGGACGAGATGCGAGACCCCATCCAGGCCTGCTGGGAGCCCAGAAGCCCCCCAGATGGAACGACCCCACGACCTGCGAACAGTCCCCTCACTCCAGGCACACACCCGAGAGAAACGAAGACACCTGCCCACACACGTTTACGGGGCCAGAACGAGCAGGTGAGTGTCCATCGTCGTCGCCGACAGGTGGGAGCAGCTCCAGTGCCCACCGGAACCTCAGAGCACGACTCAACCACGGAAAGGAGCGAGGCCCAGACCAGGCCACGGGGGTGGGGATGCATCTTGAGGACATGATGTCCAGTGAGAGACGCCAGACACAGAAGGCCACACAGCGTGTGATCCCATGTCTGTGAAATGTCGAGGACAGGCCGAGCCGCAGAGACAGTACCGGCGCCTGGCGGAGGGGACGGGCAGCGACGGCTGACGGGGACGAGGTGGGTTTCTTTTTGAGGCCGTGAGAATGCTCTGGAATTAGACTGTGGTGGTGGTTGCACAACTTTATGAACATACCACAAACGCTTCACCGGGTGGGTTGTGTGGTGTGTGAAAACACGGAGATAAAGCTATGAAAATACATGGGCCAGGCGACTGTGGTCCCAGCTGCTCGGGAGGCTGAGGTGGCAGGATCTCTTGAACCCGGGAGGTGGAGGCTGCAGTCAGCCAAGATTGTAGCAACAAAGTGAGGCAGTGTCTCAAAAAAAAGGGGGGGGCTGGGTGTGGTGGCTCACACCTGTAGTCCTAGCACTTTGGGAGGCCAAAGTGGGCAGATCACTTGAGGTTAGGAGTTTGAGACCAGCTGCGCCAACATGGTGAAACCCCGTCTCTACTGAAAATACAGAAATGAGCCGGGCACGGTGGTGGCACCGGTAATCCCAGCTGCTCGGGGGCTGGCACAGCGTTCAGCCGCTCTGGTCCCAATGTGCCCAGCTCAGCCCCTCTGCATCACCTGGCTCTCTATCGGGCTCCGTCCAGGGCACAACGCACGGAAAGTTCCCGCCACCCACACTGCGGGCTCACCCAACCCGGCCACACACACACTCGTCTGCCCCAGCCCTGGCCTCCTCCTGGCCCCTGCTGTCCTGCCCGTAGTGGCCGTGGGACCTGGTGCCACAGCACGGTCCAGAACCCTCTCCCTGCAGCACCCACTCAGGAGTCGGGGCCTGTGCACGTCGGCCCTGCTGCTGGAATGCCCACCCCGGGTGGTTCAAAGGTCACCTCTCTGCTCCAAGCCTCCGCCCTGTCATGGAGGACTCACTCGTATCTGAAATCCGGCCGCCAAGGGCTGTGACCCAGCTCCTGGGTGTTGTCAGGGCTCTGGGCTGTCCCTCAGGCCCCTGGCCAGCCCCTCCAGGGCCACCAAAGTCCGCAACCGAGGCTCTGGTCACGAAGGCAAGTCACGGGTGGATCCCAGATATCCAGGGTAGAGGCCGAGCCTCTACTCTCAGGTGGTGGGAGGGGCTGGACCTGGAGGTCTCCAGCCACCCTCCTCCTCCAAGGGCACAGCCGAGAGGTCGCTTGATCTCATGTTAAATCGGAGCAGCCACAGGTAGAAACACCTGGGCAAGGGGGCCTGGTGGAGGAGCTGCCCCACCTTCTCCGGGGGCGGCACGCACTGGGGGTCCCCACAGAGGCCCCACTGGAGCCTCCGGTCCTAGCAGAGGATGGTGAATCCGCTCACCTCTCCCTCGGAGGACAGGTGCAGGAGGTAAGATCACTCCCCCCGACCACCCCCGTCATCACCATAGCAACAGCTAGCCAGGCAGCAAGGGCGGCAGGAGCCTGCCGGTGCCGGGCCCCACCCGTGCACCCCGAGGGGTGCGATGGCCTCATCCCTGGGTGGGACCTGGCAGGGCAGCGGGGGCCCTTCATCCACAGGGCCTGCATAGGGCCCATGTCCTGAGGGCCCAGGGCCAGGCGTGTGGAGGGGAGTGGGCTGGGGACCTGCAGGCCCCAGAGGACTGACTGCCTGGAGACAGTGACTCGGCCCCCATGGGCGGCAGGGCCCTCAAGGAGCTGTGCGCATCAGGAGACCCAGGGAGGAAGACAGCGCGGCCCTTGGCCCCGGTGGGAGCCCCCGTGTGGGGCAGGGCCCTCAGGGAGCTGTGCACATCAGGAGACCCAGGGAGGAAGACGGCGCGGCCCTCGGCCTTGGTGGGAGTCCCGTGCAGGCTACTGTTTTCCTAAAGGATGCCCAAAGCTTCCCGGCTCATCCACGGTGTATGGGCCCCACAGCCCCAGAGGCACGGACACGTGTGGCGCCTGCACCCCTTTCTTCCCGCCCTCAGCAGCTGCCACCACATCCCACATTCACAGTCTGTCCCTGGGCCCCACGCACCACGCACTCCCGGGACAAGCTGGGCGGACAAGGCATGAGCGAAGCCGCTGCCTAGACCCGCTGGGGCCCCGCCTCACACCCCAGCGGGTGCCTCGGCCCAGACCCCGAACTCTGCCTTCTCCTTCCCAGGTGGCTTCAGGCACCGCCACTAGGGACCGGAACCCCACACATGCCCGTCCGTGCCGGTGCCAGGGGTGCTGCAGCTCTCCTGAGGCTCGGGAAGGTCCTCGTGGTGGCAGAGTTCTGAGTGGGAGGAAATTCAGCACCAGCAGCTGCCTGAGGCAGACCCCTGCACCAGCTGGCCGGACAGAGAGGTCAGCCGACACCCACAGGTTCCCTGGGTATTGCTGGTGCCCGATCACAACACCAGGCTCCATGCTCACAGGGTGCTGCAGGGAGCCAGTTCCAGAGAACCCAGCTGTGCAGAGTCGTTTCAGGGTGCCGGCCGGACGCTCGCGAGGCAGGGCTGTTACTGTCACAGCATCTGGCACAACCACAGACACAGAGCAAGCAGCGGCCAGAGACAGACGCCGCACAGCCCCGGAAGACTCAGGTCCGGGCTGCTGGGGAGGCCAGAGACAGACGCCGCACAGCCCAGGAAGACTCAGGTCCGGTCTGCTCGGAAGGCCAGAGACAGACGCCGCACAGCCCAGGAAGACTCAGGTCTGGGCTGCTCAGGAGGCCTGGGAGGGCCAGGCCGCTGCAGGGACGAGGAGAAGACAGGGTGGGCTGGGGGGCAGCTGGGGAGACTTCCTGCCCGGCACCATCGGTGACACTGGCCACAGCAGCCCTCACTTTCCCGGTGGCTCCCCGCCCACGCCGCCTCTTCCCCACCCTGGGCAGCAGGGTCCAGCACCCCCACTGTCTTCTCACCACTCGGAGACACTGCAGAGGCCCTCAGGGGTGGGGGGCTCAGCAGGCAGAGCTGAGACCACCCTAGGAACCACCCAGAGACAGGGAGCTCAGGGACAGGGACGGCACCCAGGGCCACCTCCCTGCACCCGCCTGGCTCCCGGGGGCTCAGTGCCCTCAGCAGGTCCCTGCCCACCGGATGTTCTCGCCCACACCCTACAGTCACAGCACTGCACTCAGCACCTCCTCGGCAGGGTCGAGTCTGGGTCTGAGCAGCCGCCTGCGGCCTGAGCTCCAGCTGGCCTGTCTGGTTCCTGCCACCACACGCCCCACTCCGGCTGACGCTTCCTTTCCTTAGACACCCAGACGCTCTCGTCACTGCCTCTTTTTTTCTTTTTTTTTTCTCCCTGAAGGAGTCTTGCTCTGTCGCCCAAGCTGGAGTGCAGTGGCACGATCTCAGCTCACTACATCCTCCACCTTCCAGGTTCAAGCAATTCTCCTGTCTCAGCCTCCTGAGTAGCTAGGATTACAGGTGCCCGCCACCACACCCAGCCAATTTTTTGTATTTGTATTTTTATTTTTTTGAGACAGAGTCTCGCTCTGTCGCCCAGGCTGGAGTACAGTGGCGCAATCTCAGCTCACTGCAAGCTCCACCTCCAGGGTTCACACCACTCTCCCGCCTCAGCCTCCCGAGTAGCTGGGACTACAGGCGCCGCCACCACGCCTGGCTAATTTTTTGTATTTTTAGTAGAGACGGGGTTTCACCGTGTTAGCCAGGATTGTCTCGATCTCCTGACCTCGTGATCCGCCCGTCTCGGCCTCCCAAAGTGCTAGGATTACAGGCGTGAGCCACCGCGCCCGGCCAGTTTTTCGTATTTTTAGTAGGGACGGGGTTTCACCATATTGGCCAAGGCTGATCTCAACTCCTGACCTCAGGTGATCCGTCCACCCCAGCCTCCCGAAGCACCAGGACCACAGGCGTGAGCCACGCACCCGGCCTCGTCACCGCCTTTCGTGGGGGCAACTGTCGCCCCTGTGCCGTCGCCTGAGCCTCCGACTGCGAGTGTGGCTCCCCGCTCAGGGCACCCTCACAAGTCACCAGGAGAGCAGCCAGGTGCCGGCCACTCTGCACACACGTGCCCACCGGGTGCCATGGGGAGCGAGTCGTACCACCAAACCCACGTCGCAGGTGAGGAGACTGAGGCCCAGGCTGCCCAGCGGAGAGCGGCCCAGCCGCGTGGGTCCTCAGCCTGATCCCAGAGTCCAGGAAGGCAATGGAAGCCTGAAACAGCCCAGCTGCCTGGGGGAAGCCCTCGTGGGCAGGCGCACAGCCCACGGCAGCCAGGCAGCCAGTCTCCTCTGCGTCAGAGGCAGGCAGGAGTGTCCTGACAGCCAGCCCAGGTGTCTCAGCAGCAGCACCGCCGCCTCAGACTCAGCTGCCGCGCAAGCTCCCCATCGGCAGAGACGCCGTTTGGAGGGCGCTGGCTGTGGCTGGGGACTTTCCCCATTACCAGATTCGGAGCAGCCTTCCCTCCTTCCCGCCCCAGAACCAGGTGTGTCCATTTCCCAGCACAGAAAACTCGTTTTTGAGACAGCGTCTTGCTCGTCACCCAGGCTGGAGTGCAGTGGCACCATCACAGCTCACCGCAGCCTCCACCTGCCAGGCTCAAGCGCTCCTCCCACCGCAGCCCCCGCCCGGAGCTGGGACTCCAGGCGCGCAGCAACACACCCCACAAATTGTTTCAGTAGAGACAGGGTCTCGCCACGCACAAAGAAGTTCTGACACTACCACGCTGTCTACGGGCGCCTTGTTGCGTCCTGCTCCAAAGGCACAAGCAGGTGCCCTCTGGATCACCTGTGGGGTGGAGACAGGCAGTCCTGCGGCAGCCCTCCCTGTAGTTATTTGCTCTTAAGGAATTTACCAACGTCCATGATTAAATATTTGTCAATCGCTGTTCCATGCTGGCTCCCTGGCCAGCCTGTAAAGTCTGTGAGGGCAAAGACCACAACTACCTGTCACCACTGAGATCCTGTGACCACAGGAAAGCCTCGCCAGGCCCAGTGACAGTCAGAGGTCAGGGTCCTCCCTGTCCAAGGCCACCAGTCCTGTGCAGGCTCCAGGAGCAGCTAAGTGTGCAGCCAGGTCAGGGCAGCGTCGGCCCCCCCGCCACAGCCACCACTTCGGGCTTCCCGGGGGCCTCCCAGGGCCTGTCCCACGGCTCACAGCGGCTTCGAGGGGCTGCCCTGCAACTCACCCAGGCAGGCAGGCTGTCAGGCAACCAGCCCCTCCTGTCACGGCCAGTGGGGACAGGAAGCGGGAAGAAGCAGGAGCGAGACCCCTGGGAGACAGAGGAGCAAGGCAAGGCTCAGTCTCAGCCCCAGAGCCTTCACCCCACATCCGAGATTTCACTTTATTTGTTCCTCCTGCGGGGGAGGGGAAACCCGGTGGCTTCAGTAGAGAGGAAACCACACCTCTCTCTCCAATTCTGGGCCTGGCACTGCTGTCCTGCCATGCCCCACTCTAGCACTCGTTCCTCCTCTGTGACCCCAGCCAGGCGGCTTCTCCCGACTCCCTCCAGCCCCTTCCTGGGTCTCTGCACTGCTTGTTGGGGGCTTTGGCTCCCCTTAGGGGTCAAAGCGTAGCAACAGCCAGGCGGCAACGCACACAGAGAGCACAGTAAATCCTCAATGCCTGCAGTCTCTTCCCCTGGGCACGGGGTGGGGAGTCCAGACCCCTCCACCTCCTGCAGCTGCTCCCCTCAAGCTCGTCAAGCGGCTCCGGACTGAGCCGGCTCTGCCCCTTTCCTGCTGAGCCACCACAGGCCTCAGTTTCCCCATCTATCAAGCAGGCGTGGCTCGACTAAACCACCACTTCCCACGTCAGCCTGGGGAAGGGGAACACGGGTTAAAAATGCAGACCACCGCCGGCCACGGTGGCTCACACCTGTAATCCCAGCGATTTGGGAAGCTGAGGCAGGAGGATCGCTTGAGCCCAGGAGTTCAAGACCAGCCTGCGCAACACAGGGAGACCCTGTTCCTAACAATAATATTAAAAATACAGACTGCTGAGCCCATTCCACACCGACTGACTCCGAAACCCTGGAAAAGGGGCCTGGAAATAGCACGTCCGACCAGCACAGCTCCCACCTCCCCCAAGGTGACATCAGGGCCGCGTGGGGAACCTTGCCCTGAACGAGCAGGAAGTAGCACTCGGAACGCCCAGGCCCAGGGTCCTCCCGGGCGAGGGGTGGCTGTGAACACCTCGAGGAGGAGTGGGCTGCCCGGCCAAGCCCCGGGAGGGGAAGAACGCAGGCTCCGGTCACAAAGCCCCGCCGGCGGGCCGCGCTCGGACCCCGG